GTCAGAAGTTGGAGGATCACAGCTGTTTGGGTCACGAGAGCAGCGCGCAGACTCCGATCCACTGGGAGGCTCACTCCGCTCGCTTTGCACTAAGGAGATGGTCCTCTGCATCATCGCTGTCTCTCTGTCTGTCTCAACCCCCCCCCACCCCCTTTCCAAACTAAGCTCGCCAAGATCACAATTTTCTCTCTATGGGCCTGGTGTATCATGTACGCCACACGAATATTTATGAGATGGATGGAGTCCTTTATTGGAATTTAAGTGCCACAGAGCTAGAGGCTGTTTTGTTCACTTGCTGAACCCCCAGCACCTAGACCAGGACTGGCACCCAGCAGGTGCTCAGAAGTGAGTTACTTGAGATATCTAGTTACATAATTACAAGACGTTAGAGGTATCATGGCTCCAAGGGGATAGACCTTTCTCCCAAAGGTCACAGGACCTTAGAGAGTAGATGGGATAGATGAGCTAAATCTTCCAGGTTCCAAGCTGCTGGCTCTCCTGGACTGCGGTGCCCCTGCTGGAGAAGAGCCGAACTTCCCCGAGCCCAGCTAGATTCTCTGACCTGCTCCTGTGATGGCGCCTTCGGGGCTCTGGCAGCTAAGCAGAGACCAAGGACTTCGGATGGGGACGCAGAGGGTGGGAGGTGGGATGGCTGTGTGGGCCTTGCCAGTGCCTGGGCAGGTGGCTTAAAACAAGAACCTAGGTAGTACTCTGCAAACAGGAATGCTCAAGACGTTAGTGACCCAAGGAGCTAGGGCGAGAGGTCAGAGCTAGGGCTGGGTGTGGAATCCTAACGTGGGGAGGACCAAGCGGGGAAGAATGTCAAGCCCCAGGTCTGAGCCATGGAAGCACGTGCATTCCAAGGACAGACGGAGAAATCAGAGAGGACAAGAGTAAGCCAGGACAGCACAGTCGCAGACGCCTAGAGAGGAAGCGTTCGGTGCAGGAAATCCTCAGGGGAGGAGAGGCAGGACTGGCAAAGTCCGCTCAGCTGGGCTGAATGAAGGAGGAGGCATGGAGTTTAACAGCGAGAGCTTGTTCACATCTCTCTGTGGCCAGGCCACTGGCTACGAGGAACTTAGGATGAGTGAGAGACTCACCTCCTAGTTTCAGCCTCCTTTTTCACAAAGGGATGGTACCTACTGATTGAGCCCAGAAGACGCCCTGCCCAGGGCCGGGAACACAGCTCGCACTCAAGAAACACTGCGATTATTATGTCGGTGGCCGTGCTGTTATTGCAACTGGTGACCTTTAAGGAGAAAACAGCAGTTTGGTACTGGGAAGGGGAGGGGAGGGGAAGAAGATGGGAACCAGATTGCAGGAAGTTAAGGGGAGCCAAAGAAACGGTGGGTGTAGATCACTCTGCTGAGGAATTTGATAGTGGAAGGAAGTTGAGAAATCCGGCGGCTGGGCGGCAGGAGGGCCAGCAGTTTCTTTGAGAGAGAAGAGGCAAGTGAATGTTCATCAGATCAGTACCCTGTAGAGACTAAGAAACTGAAGATCCCAGAGACACTAGGGGCGGGCCCTGGGAGCAGGCAGGGACATTCCCCCCTTCCCCCAAGGGAGAAGACAGAGTCCCTGACTGTTGTCCACACACTGCCCTGCCTTTGCTCTCATACCAGCCTCCCCACTAGGGCAGGGTTGGCGGGGCGGGCGGGGGGTGGGCGGGGGGCGGGGGCAGAGGTCTCTCCCTCAGTCTCTTTCAGGGAGGGTGGTAGAAAGCCAGAGCCAAGTTCTGGCCATGACCCTGGCCATTTGAACTTGGCGGAGCCCTCGTCCCTCCCGGGGCCCCTGTCTCCCCGTGTCAGGGAGGAGTCAGGGTAATCATCTCTGATCCCGTGGCCATGTCGTCTCAGGAAGCATTATAAAACGTTTTCTCCCCTGAAGTTTTTCTCCACTCTGTTTAGAAAGAAGGAAAAAAAAAACCTGACTTGGAGCTGGAGCTACCACGTCCCCCAGCAACTGGGACAATATTTCTGTTCCCCACGTATTGCGAGCAAATCCGGCAATTCCATCAGTGCTGGCAGATCGCTGCTGAGCCTACTGGTGTTTTAAATAGCATGTGCACTTTGTCCTGGCTTCTGGAACGAAGCAAGGGACGGGCAGGAGCTTTATGCTCAGCTGAGTGTCGCTGTTGATGAGGCGCTTGGTGGCTGCAGGCCCCCGAAGCCTCAGAAGTAACAATTGCCACACACGCCCCGTCTGTCCTCCGAGGCGGCAAATGCATCAGCGGCTGGTTATTTTGATACCCTAGATAAAAAGCTCTTTCGAGAAAATCTAGTACAGGAAAACATTCTTATCCTATGCTTGTCCGCACCATTCCTTCTGCCCCGCTGTCCCTTGAGCTATTTTGCATTCCTATAGTGAGTCGGGGGCCTTAAAGTCCTTGTCTCAGTGACCCAGGAGAAGGCCATTGCCTTGGCGGCCCTTCATGCAAGTGGAAGAGGCAAGGGAAGGCATACCTGGCTGTGGCTTCTGGGCCAAGGCCCCGCCTGATCAGTAATCTGATGGAAACCACTGCAGTGAGAATGGGTTGTCTGACAGTCACAGACGGCTCTAAGCATTTACTGAGCACCTGCTGTGTGCCAAGACCTGTACCAGGACCTGGGAAGACCATGATCAACACAGGTAGGGCCTAACAATCCAGCTCGCACAAGAGCACGTGCTCTCTGATTAGGGACATTGGCCATCTCACAGCACCATGCACACAGCAGGTGCTCAATGAGTACTCTTTGGAGTGTTTATTTGTTTGTCATTTACGAGTTCTGATTTACTTGAGATCCTTAAAGTTCAGGAACAGAAACTGAGCTAGTCAGGGATGGAAAGAGCTCTTATTAAACCAACATGTGCCATCAGAATATAATCAACAATTTGGGGGCTGGGGCGTCTAGGCTTATATTCTGCTTACATCATTTTAAATTTCCCCCTTACACACCACATGAAAGAGAACCACAAGTGCCCCAAATCCTTTTGTCCTTCTGGGTGATGCCACAAGTTTGCGTACAAAAGCTCTGCATTCAACAAGCAAATTCTCTGCTATTCTAAAATTTAGAACGTCATCCCTAAATTCTCAGGCAGCTGTTAGGTAAGACTTAGGGCTGGTGCTTTCAGACAAGTTTCTACATGGCACAATTGATGAATGAATTTGTCCTATTGTCTGGAAATCCCTTTGTTAACTTGACGATGTTGAAGTTCCTCATGCATCACCCAGACTCCAATGCTACCTCCACAGAAAGGCCGTTTATGGTGTCCCCAGTTGTTAGCCCCCTCCCCCGAAGTGTGTTCAGCCCCCAGGGTGTATATGAACAACTCAGCAGTGAAAGAGCCTTTGCTGGGAAATAATGAGCTCATCCCAAAGCTAAGGCTGACTTTCAATTCTGGGGCTTTCTTCCTACCTCATCCTTCTCAGCCTGCATCCATGGAGTGGACTTAGGTATCCTGGCAAAGGTGCAAACAGAAAGAAGGGAAGAACTCAGGCCGATATGTCTTAAGGGCATTGCCAGGACCTAAGCAGAGCCTGACTTTGCTCAAATGACCTGCACTGGGCATAAAGGGCCACTCTTGGGCTTAGAACAGGAAGTCCCCCCTGTGTCTCCCTAAATCCCAGTACCTGAAGGTGACCTTTGCCTGAAGAGTGCAGGCATGGTTTCATTAGAAACCTCTCTCTCTTTCCCCACATCTGTTGCTCCAGTGGCATCAGAAACCGGGTAGGTGGTTCAGCATACAATTTATGCAAGGAAGGAGTGAAGACATCTGAAGCTCTCCCCCCACCCCTGGAGGGAGTTGGGGTGCGAATTTTCAAAGACCTATGGATCCTCCGGAACATGACAGTTAATGATGCGCACTTGGTGAGCAATCTGCCTTGCTAGTTTGGGGCTGCAGTAGGAAAGGCCAGGCGGGGGATCCAGAGAAGCTCCCCTGTGAGACTTGGAATCCAGGAACCCAAGAAATCTTGGAAAGACAGCCCAGAGATCCAACTTCACTTGAAGTCCACCCTGGGAAGATAAAAAGGAATTTGTTTAGGGCCTAAGGTAGGGCACCAGGCTCTTTCTGCCTAGATCAGCTTAGAGTGACAGAACTCTTGCAAAACTGAAGAAAGCAGCAGACCCTCTAGCCAGAAAAAGGCACACACCCAACACAGACAAACAAATTCGCCTACAATTTCAGAGGGGTCAGCAGCCCCAGCAAGGAAGCTTCTGGAACCCAGACCGTTAAGTTAAAGCCCTGAGTCTAGGTCCTGCAGCATAAATCCTCTTGCCCTTGTCCCCATGCCAATTCGCTCCTGCTGGGTGGGGGTGAGGGGGCTTTTAAAATAGCTGGTTCTTGTTCTCAAAGCCCCCGCCTTCCCCTGAATTGGAGGAACCCTGGCACCTGCATCTCACCAAAGCTCCCCTGGGTGCTCTTTTCTCCCGGGGCGATGGGTGGCGTCCCTGGCCAAAAGCTCTCCGAACTCCTCTCCCGCTGCTATGAGCAGAGGCAGCCAAACCCTTGGGCACGGAGCGTGACGTCGGGCGGACCCCCGGAGCGCTGGCCTCAGGCGACGCTAGAGGCAAGGGTGGGGAAGTGCGAGGAGGTCCGGACAATTCCGCCCACAACCGCCTGCTGGCCTAAGGGCGTTCGAAGCCCGCACCCCCGCCTGGTGCTCCAGAAAATCCCCGTCCAGGCTTTGCCCGCGAGGCCCCTCCGACCCTCGTGTGTTTCTCTTTGACCTCTGGAGGTTTGAACCTTTCCCCGGTTGTGTCGAGCCAGCCCTCCTGGGAGCGATCGACCTCTAGCACCCAGGACCCCCTACAGCCCGGCACCTCCGCCCACCAGAGCAGGTGCGGGGCCGGGGCTGGGGAGAGTTGCAGTGGGGGAAGGATATGGAGTGAGTGACTCAGGAGTCCGGGAGGAGGGGCTAAAAATTCAAGAAGCTTGTGTTTGAGCAGCTCGGCGCTCATGCACAGCAGAGAGCGCTAGGAGCCGGAGGGGAGCGCAGCGGTGAGTCAGGCTGCCCCGAGCCGAGCCCCGAGAGGGACGCAGCGCGGGCAGGGGCGCGGGCTAGCGCGGCTGGGCTCCCTGGGAGAGAGTGCATGGATCCCGGTCTGGCGAGATCTCCGGGCACCCTCGAGGCTCCCGCGGGCTGAAGTGCAGCCGTAGAGGAGCGTCCCGAATGGGTGCGGGAGCGCGGGAGCCTGGGCAGGCGGGCGAGTCGCGGTGGGGGTGGTGGTGGTGGGCAGCGCTCTCTCTCGTTCGTCCCGGAGTTCCCTGTCTCCCGATGGCCCGCAGTCCGGGGAGGCAACCTCGGAGGCTGCAGTAGCCCGGCGATGCCTGGGGCTGCTATTCGAGGGCTGGAAGGGGACAGCGCGCAAGTGAGGAAGCGCGAAAGAGCTTCGAGAGAGGGATGCGCGGGCTGCGGGCGCGCCCGGGCGAGAGGAATGGTGGTCTGCACCGCGGAGGGCTAGTGCGCCCCGCGCTTCGTCTGCTGTGTGCGCCGAGTCGGAAAAGTGCCACGCCGCCCCCAGGTACCCGGACGACCCCGGCAGGGCGCGCTAGAAGTGTTGCAGGGAACCGAGTAAGGGTCTTCGGGCTCCTCCCCGCGTTGCTGGAGGGCTGGGAGACCCGAGTGAGGGGCTTGGGACTCGGCGCGTCAGGGGACCTCCAAGGAGCCGCGCTGGGCCGAGGTCGCCAAAGCTCAGCCCTGCTACCTGGGTCACACGCCTCACCTCCCGCTGTCTGCTGCCAGGTGTAGGAGAAGCTGGCGTGGGGTGGTGCGAGCAGCGCCTTGGGTCCAGGCGGCAAGAACCAAGGGGAGGCAGAGAGAGGACCCAGGGGTCAGGAAGCGGCATCTTTGAGGCAACATAAACAAGTGGCTTAGCTCTGTTTGATACGACTCTCCTTTAAAAAAAAAAAAAAAAAAAAAAATCTCCGAGATTCTCGTGGAAGGTGTTTTCTGCTTGAACTTTCTCTTCCCTTGTGACTTGAGAGATTAAAAAAGATCCTGCTTGCTAGGCTGGTTTTTCCAAGTTGTTCCAGGTTGGAAGTTGTAACAGTTTGGAGGATAATTTATGGGTGTTTCATGCATTAAAGTGTATTACAGCAAAGCCTTTGGGGTGCTGTGGATATTAAGGAAAACTTAGTGCACGTTCCCAGCTGCAAACCAAAATAGTGCCCTCCTGGGTGTCTCTGCCCCATCTGTCATCCAAGGCCAATGGAAATCCTGGAGAAAAGGCACTTGATTAATTGTCCTGGCTCCATCCTCTGGCCCCACCCACTGCCCGTGCCAGCCCCCTCTTACCCTACAGGTGCGTGGCCAGCTGCATTCTGGCCAATTCAGACTTAGTGGTGGAAGGCCCACCAGTGACATCTTTTCAGGGTCTTCAGACTCTTGAAGCTGTCAGTTCAGCCACTGGAGGGGAGCACTTCTCCCTCCCGGAGCAGAGCAGAATGGGCAGCGGCACTTGGGTCCTGCCAGTACTTGTTGAGCAGTGTTTACAGGTTTGTTGTTGTTATTGTTGTTGTTGTTGTTGTTTGTTGGTTGGTTTTTACTGAATATCTGAAACTTTCTCCCTTTGTAGAGGAAAGGCTCCATTGGATCTGGATGGGTGCCTTCTGTGGGTCTTATTCTGGAATAAGTCATATGTCAGCCTGGGCAACCCAAATGTCAGTCCACGATGGGCAGTGTTCCCAGAGGTTCAGAGGGGACTGCGGGACTGAGCAGCAATGGTGGGGAGGAGTGTTGTGGGGTTTGCCACCAGCGCTGCTGGCCTTGACTCACAGACGAGAGGCAGGCGTGTTCCTCCTTCTTGGGTCCTTGAAGGGGGCCGGGTTAAGGTCACATGCTGCCAAACTCCTCCCCTTTTTCCCAGCATCTTTAAGCAGGGGATGAAAAGGGCAGGCTTGAAGAGGAAAGTGTTAGGAGGCGCCACAAGTGGGAAACCAAGGTCTCTGGGGCATGGGGATACATGTCTTGATGGAACTGTAGGAGCACCTGGGAGGATTCATAACCCGCTGCTAAGGCCACGCCTTCCCTGGGCGGCCATCTTACCCATGAAGCAGCCCAGGCCTGCTAGCCTGTCGGGAAAACTGGGTCCCAATCGGGACAGTCATCCTAGTCGTGGTGACTCTTTCTGTACTCTTAGTCTTTCTCCAAAGAGTGAGATTCTTGCCTCGTTCTGTTGCCCACCCTACCCCTCCCCCAGCCGGGGGGCCAGAGGGAGGCTTGACGCTATTCTTCCATGGAGAGATCTGTGCCATGGCCAGGAAGGGGGCCCCAGCTGCCGACATCAGCAGGGAGGGTAGGGCATGGCAGGGCAGGGCTGGAGCCTGAGGGAAGTTTCTCATCATTACTGAGATTAAATTGATGAGAAAATCTCACCTCTTCCCTTTGAAACAAGTGCTGAGCCCTACTGCAGCACATTCACTGCCCTATTGGGAGGGCAGCCACGTTGGGGCTGCAGAGAACTTACCAGGAGACATGCTGCTGCTCTTCCCCACTGTGCCTGGAGCAGGGGTGAGGCCCAGGCCCCCAAGCAGCCATCAGCGCAAGACCCGGTCCAGAGCCCCAGCCATTTGTCTTCTTCCAGTTAAGAAACCTGGAGGGACTAAGGGGGTCCTGATCATGCCTTGGAGACCTTTGCCTGCAGCAAATACTCTGCTCTCTGGGCCCAGTGGAAGGGGCTGAAGATTCCCTTAAAATCTCTGGGTATCTCTGAGCAAACAACTTGGGTTCCCAGAGGGTTTCTCTTTCTTTGATTGGCCCCTCTGATCTTGCAAACCATCAGCCAAATCATCAGCTCTCAGGTTTAGCCAGTTTTGAGAAATCAGTTCTGCGATGGGCCAGTTTCACAGAACAGCACATGGTGGCATCAGGCAAATAAATATAGATGGAAGACCATTCCCCAACCCATTCCCAGGGACCTTTCTACCTGGCAGTAGGCAAACAGTTCATGTCCTGACTCCAAAGAATAGTAACATGGGGATGGCCCTGAGCCAGAAATGCAGCTGGAGAAGCCCAGGCACTGATCTTTTGGTTGGGTGTGCACAGGGATGGAGTTGTCCCATCCTTGGAGCCAAGGAAGCTAGACCGTCAGCCACAGCGATTGGCCAAGACCAGAATAATGACAACATGTAATAAAGAAGAGTCTCTTGTGCTTCCTGATGTTTTCATTATTCTTCAATTGGCTGCTCCACGTGTTTTTGAGGAGCCTTGATAGACTGCTGGCTTTAGACCTTGACATAGTAGGAATTGGACTAAAACATGGAGTTGATCTCTTGACATTTTTCTGCTATACTTTGGGCAAATGTTCTGTGATAGTTTCCTGAGTTGAGAGACAGAAGAGAAAAAAATGTTTGTGACTTTGAGCAACTCAGTGAACTTGTCAGGCTTTACTTTTCCAATCTATAGGATTATTGTATTGAATTAATAGTGTTTCCCAATGCTGGGGGACAATTCTTGGTTAAGTGTGACCTACTTAATGCAGGAAGTTTAATACCCTTAGCTTTCCTACTAAGTGCCAGAGGTCATGGTGACGACCAAAAAATGCACCCTCATACATGGCTAAATGCCTATTAAAAGGCATTTAGTCAAAACCTCCTTTGGAAATTACCAAAAAGGGCCTTTTTTTCTAGGCCCTTCTGTGAGGGCATCAATTATTTCATCATTGAAATGGGGCTTCAGAAGTCCAGCCCTGGGTTTCCTCTCCCAGAACCAGCGTGTCAGGCTCCAGGAAGCCATTGGCAGGAACCTCACTGCTGTGGTCCTGCCAGGCATCACTCTTTGCCTTTTGTCAGTGGAGCTTGACTACAAATGACCCACATGAAAAGAAAACCAAAGAGAGTGGGGGGAAGGGACAGGTGGTATTAGAGCATGGCTGCTTTTCTTCTCTGCCATATGCTCTTAAAAATGCAGGCAGACTGCTTGCCCCGGGTGTCCACAGCTCTGGGAGGGAATCCTTCCCTCCTTTACTAAATAGATCACGTTCTGGCACTGGGAGGTCCTTTCCCTGAACAAGAGAATGAGGAAGCAGAACTCTCTCCAGCATGGCCAGCACTTACATCAACATGGGAACATGTTGATAGCAAATTAATACAACTGTGCCCAAGCTGTGAGAATAAATGGGAATCAAAAATGGGACATTTGATTGAAAAAAGTCAGCGAGCAGGACTATGCGGGAGAGGTGGTTCTTGTGACCCTGGATTTATTCTCAAGGAGAACAGTTCACGTTGTGCCTAACCCTGCCCCAAGCTCTCACCCAGGACTAAAGATGGAAGCAGTGGTTATTCCTAGTGCCAAGGGCCAAGATGAATGCTATCTATGGAGGGGATTATGGAAACACCTGCTTGCTACGCATCCCCAAGTGGCAGGAGAGAAAACTACTGAAGCCATTGGGCTGGCAGAGTTCAGAGTTGATTCCTAATGGGTTGGGAGAGGAGACATAAGAGACTTAAGGAGATTCTCTAAGGAGGCTGAGAAGGGTCTGATGACACAGTCTGTCAGGCGGGACTAGCAACAGTGCTTTTTAAATTGCTCCAAGAGTTGGACCAACTCTTTACGTGTGGAGAGCTTCTCATTAGTGGTACTCTTAGTGGCAGACAGTCAGGGTTTCCTGGAGAATCAACCACGAAGCTGAGCAGAGGGAGCCGTGTCGACACTGCCTGTGGTGGCTTTAGCAGGTGGAGAGCCCACCAAGTGTGAGGACCCGGCTCCTGAGTCAGTGGGAGTGATAGCCCCAGCTTCCCACAGAAGCCATTCCATGTTGAGGGCAGTTACCTCTACGACCCCCAGACTCGTTTCCCAATAACCACAAAGTATTTGCTCTTGGGGACCGATGAGCTGATTTCCCCATCCCATTTCCTTTGGCTGAGCCTTCAAGTAGCCAGGGTTGGCGACCTTATCATGCATCTGCCTACTGTAGCCTGTTCCTCAGTGAGCCTGAGGAGGACCAACCATCCGGTAGAAGCCATGAGAGCTCAGCCCCAGCTGGGGGCTGAGGGAGGTCCTGTGTCGCCTCCTCATCACGGGAGATCTGAGGCACAGCTGGAGTGACTTGCATTTCAGTCTGGTGAATTGCCATCCTGTGTTTGGCCCCGCGCACATCCAGCTTGGAGGCTGACGCACTGAGCTACCCCCTCATCCTTGTCAATAACCAGAAGT